CCTACAGAATGTCAAAGTCATGCCTACAGAATGTCAATGTCATACCTACAGAATGTCAAAGTCATACCTAAAAATTCCTTCGTGTATCCCTTCATGGACTGCCCAGTTTTACATCGAATGAAGCCACTCAGTCTCATTCTAATAGATACTACATCAGGCTGCAAAATGACATAAATGGAAATATATTACTTTGTTGTCGAGCATTCTACTTATCTTAGGACACACATGACATAGCAAGAATTACTTTTAAATACTTTCTTGCACACAATATGTTCCACATGAGAAGGCTTAATTTACAGAATATTCAAGAAAAGTAATAAAAAAGTGATATAGATATACTTAGTATAATTTCTCATCAGTGTCTCCTATTTCTCCACGTGCGTGATAACGAATTCATTTCCATCATACATCTTGTCTGATATTCCCAAAGGCAGCCCTTTGTATTTGTGATATCTTCATTATCATTGAGATATCATGACTTGATAGAATTTTGAAAATGGAAGTTCCCCCAAATGTGGTTGCTGTGAACTTTGAATTAATAGCCATTACTCTTTAAAAAATTAACTTACTCCTGCTAAACTTGATGATGAAGTTTCAAACATTGTGATTATCTTATAAATATAAATTCTATAGGACTATCATTTACCTGTATCTGGTATATGATAATTGATTTTTTTTCCAAATCCAAAGATCTCCACTTCTGCATTTTGATTTTTGAACTAAAGGAAGGGGTGTTTTAAAAAATAACTGGTTCTATAGGCTGTCCTATTGACCTCTTACCTCTCCAGGGTGAAGTGGTATAATTACATTTATTTGTCAATTGAACACGTTTCCTTTTCTGATGTTTATGTCACCACTCCAGGCCTGGTTGTAATTATCTTCTTTCACTTTCTCCTCCTGATGGGATCTGAATCAGTGTAATTTTAAACGCCCGTAATGCTAAATGTTAAGTAGTTTGATAAGCCATCGTGTCTTGAATTTACTCAAGCTGCTATAAATTTACCTCCTGATGAATACTTAGTATGCCACTCAGCTATTGCACATAACCACTGAACATTTGCTGCTATATTTTTGGATATCTTTGTGGGTTTTGTGAATGCTAACTTCTACCAGTGCCTTCCTTAAAACCAGGAGACACCACTGGTACCAGGAGATTAAAAATGAATTAACAAAAGCCTTTTAGAAAACACAGAGCCTTATAAGTAAAAGTTTCCTATCTTCCAATGTGTCACAGTGACTAATTATCAAGGTTCCCAAAGTGGAATCCACGTGATAAGACAGAAGGCAGTTTTATACAAGAAGACTTTTTTTTCTACTTATTTTACACACCTCTCTGGAAAAAAGTTGAAGTAGAAAATCTCCATGCTTTCTTCCACCTTTTAGATTCTTAAGTCATTAGCTGACCCAATTTCATGGAAAAATCAAACACCTGGGACTTCTAAGACACGGATAACATGTGTGTGCTTAGGTGGGAATGATCCTGAGACCTTCCAACCAGAGCTACTCAGTAGATGGAGGGGAGACCAGAAGCACTGGGTGGGGGACAGGGTTTCACCTACCCCAGCAAAGGGGGGCTGGCATTGATACGTGATGCCCAGATGCACGGTTTCAAGAAGGTGACCAAAGTCAGGTGTGTTTCTATGGGGCTGGGGGTGGATGGCAGCCGGCCTTACTACCAGTAAAGACAAAGCATTACGTGACCTGGAACGTTAGCTCCAAAGCTCATCCTGGCACTTGGGATGATTGGGGAGGATGGCTCAGCACACAGACCCCTGCACACTGTGGGGCCTACGCTACTCACACACTGGGACTCAATTTAAATTTGGTTTAAAAGCTGGGCCAGACTTTGGCCTGTTATTGGGGTTCATGGATTGTGCAGCTAGCATAAGTAGAATTAAGAATGGATTTTACAGGCGCCTAGGCGGCTCAGTCATTAAGCATCTGCCTTTGGCTCAGGACATGATCCCCGGGTCCTGGGATTGAGCCTGGCTTCGGGCTCTCTGCTCAGGGGGAGTCTGCTTCTCCCTCTCCCTCTGCTTGTGATCCTTCTCTCGCTGTCTCTCTCTCTCTGTCAAATAAATAAATAAAATCTTAAAAAAAATGGATATTACAAATGGAATCATAATGAATTACAAATTTCACTCCAGACTTTTATGCACGGATTATGGTATATCCAGAGAGAGAGGGAGCAAGCAAGCAGTCAGAATGCTTTCCGTCTGTGACCTGATGTATTTCCAGTGCTCAAAAATAATCTGTCACAATAATTAGCTACGCCAATTATTGGGGGTGCAGTGTGACCAGATTCTAATAACATTCTTTAAAGTGTTCCAAAAAAATTCTAATTAAATTCCACTTGGTTGATACAATTCCTGTTGGTGCCTTTATCCTTGCTCATGCCAATCTTTTACTCCTTGCTCATTTCTGATTTCAAGAAATCGGTCAAATAAATAGACGAGGAGACCTTTGACAACTTCCTTTAATAAATATGTCCGGGGACCTCCCACGGGACCCAGTGTAGCCTTGACGTAAAGTGGGATGGCGTGATGCAGCGCTGGGTACACCATTCATGTTGCGTCCTCCGTGGCGGCCCTTCTTTGTCACTTCCTTCAGAATGCTGTGGACAGTTTCTGGAGAGAGCTTGTGTTCATGTGTCATCCCTTGTATCTCCAGAAAAACAAAACCACTTAAACAAAGCCCATGTTTGTGATTACTAAGACTCCTGACTCTCCATCCCTGTTATCCACACATGCTGCCAACTAAAAGGAGAGAGAGTAGAAGTTGCTCAGAATGAGTCCTTGCTAAGGAAACAAAGGCCCTGAATCAGAGATGGGGGAGAAGTGGAAGGCCAGTCAGGATGCATTACTTAAATTCCTCTAATTTATTGGTTTGTTCTGATCTCATTGGGATCTTATCCATCTGCAAGTTTAGTCTTTTGTTGGAGTATGTACATTTTTGAAGCTCCCAGACTATCATCAGCCTTCTCATCAAAAATGGCAGAGACACTGAAAGCCAAATCCCACTTGAGAGCTTTGGGGATAACCAGGATATTTAATACTAGGGAAGAAAGAAAGAGGAGTGGAGACAGAAGGAAGGGAATGGGAAAGAGAAAACTGGGATAAAGTCAGTGATGGAGAAACATGGGATGGAGCAGGTGCCTACCACACTCTGCACCATCACAGGGATGACTCACATCAGCCGATTTACCCAAGCAAGGAGAAGCAATTACATTTTTAAAAGTAAAAACAAACTCACAGGGAAAGAATTTTTTAAACAAAACTTTAATATAATACCAAAGATACATGTTTTTCAAACTAAAAATATTCACATAAAAATCAAGTATCAGTGGGACTTCTTCCCTTTTGAGCCCATTTCTTTCAAACCATATTTCATTAGCAATTCCAAGGGTGCGGGGAAGAGATACTGTGTCCACGTTATTAGGATTCATCTTCTTACTGATAACTTCAAAATCATACTATTTTCAATACAGTGGTCATTATGTAAAATATTAACAGTATTTATCATTGATAGTTGTTGTATGCACCGCTACTTTGATATTTAAATTATCGTTACATTTAACTTTCGGGTTGTTCTAATTTTTAACAAGTGTTGCTTGGAAGCAAATGAACTCACTGTGTGATCTCAGCAACTTTCTGGTCTGGAAGATGAGAGACACGTATTAGATGCCTAAACTGATGAATTCTCTTTCCTTTAGTTTCAACATGGAGCCCAGCTATGATTTCCTACATATCTATGAAGGAGAGGACTCCAACAGACCGCTCCTTGGAAGTTTTCAGGGCTCTCAAGCCCCAGAAAGAATAGAGAGTAGCGGAAATAGTCTTTTTCTGGCATTTCGGAGTGATGCTTCTGTGGGCTTGTCGGGGTTCGCAATTGAATTTAAAGGTACTGTGATCAGCTTAATTTGTGTGTCAAATAATTTGTATCGAGATTTTTCCATTGCAAGCATTTATTTCTGATGTCTTGCATGTCTGTTTAATACATAAAATGTTCACATCCCTGTCATCCGTCTGGGGAAAGACATTTCGATCTTTCCAGTGGAGAAGAAAATCCAGAGACACATTTCTACCTTAGCTGAAAGAAAAAAAAAAAATGAATAATTTCTTTTTCTCCGAATTTATGGCCATGTAAAAATAAATTGTGATTTGTATACTGAAGGATTTGATGGCATATAAGAATTATTTTAAGATGTGTTTTAATATCTTCTGATTTATTTCATCAGAATGACTAAGATTAAGTACATCAAAATAGCTTAGATTTATCTCCATGTTTTTCCATGTGTAATATCTGTGGGCCTTCCCCTGCCCTTGCACCCATGGGCGCTGGTCCGATGAGGAGCCTAGGGCAGGCAGAGATTCCTTGTGTGGTCACCACACAGGTGTCTCCCACTTCATTTGGGATCCACCATCCCCGTTACCAAACATCCAGAGAAAACAAACAGAGACAAACTCACAAACAAAAACCGCCCTAAACTAAGAGTTTTGCTATAGAATCATGAAGATAATTACATGCTTTCCAAATCCATTTCTCGTGTGAACAAAGAAAATGCAAGGTACATTACTAAGAATTAGAGAAAAGGACTTAATGAAATATCAATTCACAGTAGTGAGTGCTTTGGAAAAAATAATGAAAATATGTATATTTAAACTTATGAGTTACTTATTACTAGTAATTAAATTGTCAAATAAAATGCAAAACACAATTCATCTCTGTTAACTCTTCACTGGACTTGTATCTCTTTACATGGTTTTAAGTAGAAAATTAATGTATTTCCCTCTAAACACCAAAACCTACAAAACTTTCGAATTCTTCTTAAAATGTGCAATAGAGAAAAATTTAAGCAATTCAGCAATCAGCGAAGTTCTGGTGCTTTGGGGATGGGATCTGTAATGTTTATGAATAATTGAAGACAGTACTTTTAAGCATTTACCACCATATCATCAGGTAGTTTCTGTATTAACAAGTACTCACAGAAATGCACTTCACCATGACAATGCCCATTCTATAATGAATTTAAAAAAGCATGACACTGCATCTAAATATAGGGATGTACACATTATCACTGCCTACTTGGACACCGTGTACGCTCCAGGGCATTCTAGAATAGATGATCAATGAGCGAGTGAATAAGAATGGGAGGAAAGACCTGCATCTTTTGTTTGGGTTCTTTGGTGACCAGACTAGCCATCTATCTGGCGGCTGGAGCTCTTAATGTTTGGAGAGCTCTCCAGTAGAGGTGGTGAACAAATACAACCAGCGGAAGACAAGGGAAGGAGCAGTATCTTGCTCTGCCCCAGCAAGCACCCATGGAGGGTCAGGGATGCAGGGAGCAGAACCTACGCTCCAGCACGATGAGTAGGAGCCGCGGGCAGCCTCGCTGAGACACCATCTCTGGCCCCTGGCTGATTCCACCTGCTCGCCCCCAGGGCGGGAATACTCAGGGGTGTCTCCTTAAGGAGAATGGACACAAACTATGGCAAAACACAGCACGTTATGAAGTCATTGAGTTAGAAAATGTGACAAACTGTAAGCAAAAACAGTATCTGTGATTTATGGTGAAACATCCTGAACTGACAACCGGATGAATGGGACCAAAAGATTTGATGCAGTTCTTTTGGAGAATTGAAGACTACACTTACCATCAGAAACCTAACTTAGTGACGCCATGCAGATAATCCTGTAAGTGGCATTAACCAGTCAACTAAACTAAAAGAGATTTATAACAAAACATGATTAAGAGGCTGAGAAGGCAACGGGCATGTGTGGTAGACCCCTTCTCTGTGGTTTGCTGCCCTGTTCTTGGTGTGGGTGACCGGAGTCCACTGCGTCTGTCCTCAGCAGATGCCCCTCCCCCCGAGCTACAGTCTCAGGGTCACCCGTCGCCTGACGCTGGATCACCCCGTCTAGGTCATTCCTCTAACCTCCCATATGGTGGGCGTTTTATCCTCTCACCCTGTCACAAGGGGGGTGAGGACAAGGCAATAAGATATTTAGAGAGAGAGAAATACCACATTCACATAACTTTTATTACAGCATATTGTTATAATTGCTCTATTTTATTGTTAATTATTATTGCTCCTCTCTTAGTGTGCCGTATTTATAAGTTAAACTGTCATAGGCGTATATATGTGGGGTCTGGTGCTATCTGCAGTTTCAGGCATTCCTGGGGGTGTGGGAGGGCATCCTGAATAGGGGGGCTGCCGTGAGTGCAGGAAACGCCCGAGACTAGACCAGAGCTCCTGTCTGCTGGATGCTCTGTGCGCTCTGCTGGACGGTGGTAAACAATCTCCTTGGAGCGACCCTTCAGGACCCCTTGGTTTATTTATCCGTTCCTTCTCTGCTTAAACTAAATGTTCCGGGCTCTATATGGGATTTATGCAGCTACAGAGAGTTAACACAACGTCACCTACCCTGCAAAATACCCAAATCGGCTTTCAACAAAATGATTAGAATACTGGTCCCAACACAATCCACAGTTCTCAGGGACAGACTCCAATACCAGCCCAATAAAAGCCTGCAAGAAGGTTTTATATTATTTTACATATAATAATATGTATTATCGGTTATATGTCATCATAGATTATATATTCATATAATATACATTTATTTATATATATGTCTGCATACATTTACATGCTTTGGTTATAATGCAATATATGTAAAAACACATATATTACAATATAATAATATATAATAATGTGTTATAATGTGATACTATAATAATATATATTATAACAATAGTATAATATAATAATGTATATTATAATATATTAACATGTTCAATTAATATATATTATGTATTATAATATATAATGAGATAATATATTATAATCTATAATATTTTTAGTATATATTGCATTTTAGCCAAAGTACGGAAGTCAGTAAAATAGCATAATAGATTCTTATAATTAAGAATTAAGATTAAATCAGCAATTGCCAAAGACATCTCTGTTTGGCTGATGTTGACACATAGATTTTTATAAGTATAATGGAAAATAAGGAATAAATAAACAGGTCTCTTTTTTTCCTGCAAAACTTCCCACACTTTGTGCTTTTTTCCTCTTCTAAATATCATCCATTCCTAAGAGAATGTACAGTGTAAAGTTTTCAAAACTCATTTCATTATTCATCCTTCATGGCATACATGCACAATCTCTCAGGATGCTCTTCCTCCAAACACGAGTGTGTAGGATTAGTAATAAGCAGCATGTAAACAATCAGTAAGAAAAGATTTAAATAGGGACCAATATTAATCTCAGCCAAAAACAATTCAGTCTACCCCTTATAATTTTCAGAAATCTTTTATATGTGTGATCAGCACTGGATTTTCTACAATGAATGGAGGAACTGACATGTAAACTTTCTACAGGGGAAAAGATTGTCAAGCCAAAAGGAGAGAGCAAAGACATGTTATCCTTCAGCATGTATTCACATTAATGACCTCAGCCTCCCTCTGTCTCACACACACACATACACAAGCCAAATTGTATTTTTATAACTTTCAGCTAAAAAATGATGAAAACCTCAGACAACTTCTATATTGATCACTTGAAGATCTGTAAAAGTCAGTTCTCGAGCCTTCTGACATTACCAGGAACTTTGATGACGGCATGAAGAATGTTGACATGAACAAGCAAAAAGCAGTTCAAATGATGAAATGATGTACAATATAACTATAGATATATGTTTCCATTTAGAAATATTTTGGAAGGTCTACTGAATATAAAGACATTTAAAATATTAAGGTCACCAAAAGTTAACTGGAATTAACCATATAGCTACAAGTCTCAGAGGGAAAAAAAGAAATAGACAGTTTTGTATTTATATTTGGGAAAAGACAGGTTTTTAGTGAAAGTTTTTTAACTTGTCAAGCTCAAGCTTCAGATTCTCAACATTGACAGCAGGCTGGTGAGAATCCCCGCAGAGACGTCGTGAGGAGCAGAATTAAAGCGTGCAGTACCCCCAGCTCAGTGCCTGGTACGGAACAGGCCTGGGTTCATCTGCGCAGTTCCTGCAATTAGGTTGGGATGGCTGAGTGGTTATTACAGGGCAGATGCGGTGCTTGGGGTTCATCCATAAGCACTTTGCCGGGAAGGTTCACCTGCTATTACCAGTATCAGAAAGGACGCTTAGCTTGCATGAACCAAACCAGTCTTCCTGAGAAGCCGCATTCTCTCACCTCTTTCTAACACGTGCTGTGATTTCACCTCAATAGGCTTTAAGTCCAAAGGTCGAAAATGACCTCAACTCTTCCTAAGTCAATGTCTTTGGTTCAGCGCTATAATCCAGAGGAGGGAGAAAAAGATGCACAAAAATTAATGCTGTATTTGTTTAACCTAAATGACAGTAATTCAATAGCAATTCTTCAGTAAAATATGGTTAAAAAAAGAAATATATTTTCATTAAATAGGAGTTTTTTCCCTATTTTTCTATGATATTTAATTATTAACTGATAATTGTTAACTTGATAATCATTTTTATGACATATCATTATTAATATGAACTTGATAATTCACTAATAGCTTGGTCATTGGTCAATCTGTGAATACTTTTTGAGCCTTTCTTGTACACCAGGCATTGTTCTAGGCACTAAATAAAAAGAGTAAGCCACCAAACGAACAGAAGGTTAAGATTCCTGCCCTCATGGAGCTGACATTTATTTCTTCCACAGAGAAGCCACGGGAAGCGTGTTTTGACCCTGGAAATATAATGAACGGGACAAGAATTGGCACGGACTTCAAGCTTGGCTCAACTGTCACTTACCAGTGTGACTCTGGCTACAAGATTGTGGACCCCTCGTCCATCACGTGTGTGATCGGAGCAGACGGAAAACCTGCCTGGAGCCGAGCCTTGCCTTCCTGCAACGGTACGCATGGATTCTGTGTTTCCCTTCAGTAATACTTTTATTTTGGAATGCCCGATCTCATTTTAAAACGCTGTCACACTTCACTGCTCATTCCTCTAACCAGTGGTTGGGGTCGGATTGCGTACATGCTAATGTGGACCAAGAACTTCACATTCCTCCCTCATTTAATGGAACTAGTGTATTGGCCATTGTCATGGGCTTCTGGAAGGGCCGGTATTTTTCTCTCAGTTAGATAATTTGGCATTTTTAACTTCTGTGTTTGCATATTCTAGGCCCAAGGTACATAAGAGGTACTAATTGCCAGTGTTTAGGGGCACTCTCTCCCCGTCTCTGTCTTTCTGTGTCTCTAGGTCTCTCTGCATCTCTCCTTCTCTGTCTCTGTCTCTCTCCATATATATCTATTTATGTGTCGTTTTCCCCCCGGAATATCAATCATTGTAATTCTTTATATGGGCATGAAATGAATAAAGCCACATATTAAAAGGTCCGATCAGCCTTCACGGAGAGAACTGTGGTGAGAGCAGCCTGGTGGCAGATGCCCTGGGCCGTGCAGTGACAGGAGGTGACAGAGATTTCCGGGTCGCGGGCCGCACTGTATGTGACTCTAGTCCGTGGTTTCATCGGAGTCTCCAGACAAAACTCCTCCAGCTGTAGACGGATGACTTGTACCCTCTACTCTGAGAGGGACACACATTAAAAAGAAGATGGCAAAACCCCATGAGTTTTGGCAGGAAAAAAAAAATGATTTCCAAGTTATTTTGGGGTGAACTCAAGGACCAGTTTAGTTAGATATATTGAACTTACCCAAAACTTTCCCCTCCCCCAGGACAGCTCACAATGACACTAATACCTTTGACCCCATAGGTGGAATTTAAAAATTAGCACATAAAAATTAAAGCAAACAAAACAAACAGACTGGGTTAATGCCCTTGGTCGTGTACTGCGCCTTCTGTTTCTGCATTTATGAGCCTGAGGGCTTTTCGGCTAAGGAGGCCTGCCTCGCCAGGATCCAGCACCAATTCCTGGTGCACAGGAAGACAGCAGAGATGGTCCTAGAGGAGATGAATCGACCAGTGAATGGCTGAAAGTAATTTTTACTGGAAAAAATCTGCAGCCCGTTGAATCTTCCTAATCTTACACATTTTAATAATAAAAATAAAAGAATTCTTGATGCTTCTCCGATTTCAGGGGGTCTGGAAGAGCAGAGCGTGCTGAGAGGGAAAGTAAGTGTGCTGTGGGCTCATGCATGGTGCGTGTGTCCATGACGTTTTTCATTAGTGTCTGAACTGAACTGATAAGGTTTGAGTCACAGCATCATACTCTCTTCCACGGAGCATGAGAAAGAAGGCCATCCTAATATAGTTACCTCGAAGTGTGTGTCAGGTCCTGTGGGTTTTCCTCGTTGCAAATCTACGTTCCCCCCACAGCATCGGCACTATTTCAGCCCAGAGGAAAAGCCACAGACATGGAATCTAGTTCCAGACCAACTGTTAAGTCCCTGGGTGAAGTGGAACAGTGGCCCAGTGCCTGTGGACCTCTGTGTCCTCCCTACAGGGACAATGGTAATATCCGCCTAACACCCCCTACGGGGTTATCCCAATGGTCACATGGAGATTTAGCTATAAAAGATAGACTTAAAATCCACATATATGTGTATATTAAAGTTCATAGGAACTTCATATAAATTCCATCTTATATTAATTACATTTAAAATGCAAGTACCCTTTATAAAATATAAATAATGCCCTATATATAAAATAAAATGCCCAAGAACCTCATAGATTTGAAAGGGCCTGCGAAACATCATTCATCTCAAATTCTTAAAAAGTAATCTAAAACTTCTGTTTCAATGTTTGCAGTTAATTTTTACATTTTAAAGTTTGAAAATCACTCGTTATATATGTAAATTATTCTTTATATATATACATATATACAGACCTACAAATATAAAGGGAAATAAACCTGTAAACATATAATAAAAAGTATTTATTTATATTAGTAATACATAAACATATAAACATATAATATATATTAAGATATATTAAATACATATTAGGAAACATAATACATTAGGAAAAAGTAAATATATTAGGTTAAATAAAAATTAAACGTATATTAAATGTAGATTAAATATATGTGTATCATGTACACAATACATGCACATATATATGTAAAATAATATGCATATATAAAAAGCAAATTTATAAGGGAATTTTGTAGATTTTTAGCTCTAGGCAGCATAAGTTAGTTTTGAATTTTAAATCATGATCAGAAAGGTCAATTTATGAATCCATGCTTTCCATGGATATCTTTTTATTGTTTTTAAAGATTTTTATTTATTTATTTGACAGAGAGAGACAGCGAGAGAGGGAACACAAGCAGGGGGAGTGGGAGAGGGAGAAGCAGGCTTCCTGCTGAGCAGGGAGCCTGATGCAGGACTTGATCCCAGAACCCTGGGATCATGACCTGAGCCCAAGGCAGATGCTTAACCGACTGAGCCACCCAGGCGCCCCTCCATGGATCTATTTAATGAAAAATGCTGAACAGCTACATATTTAAGTTATTGTGTGACTTGCTTTGGGAGATTGAACAACATAAAAATTGTGGGTCCTTCTAGCTAAGTTTACTAAAAACTAGAATGAGACGCATCTGGGAGGTGAACACAGTGGAGGGCGCTGCAGGGTACCCACAGGAGGGGAGGCTGAGGGGCTCCAGATGGAACACACAGGAGGGGTGAGGTGTGAGCTCACGCCCCCTGTCAGGGAGTGGGTCCTGTTAGTGGGGGCCCCGCACCCCATTCCTGTCCTGCAGGAGGGCCCCAGGGATGTGGGTGTGGAACCCAGCTGGCTGCCTTGTTCTGCTCTCACCCTGACAGCCACCAGCCCCTTAGCTCCTGAAAGGCCTGGGGAGTGCACACCCACAGGCCATAGTCCAGGGGTCATGGGCTGCCCACAAGCTACCCGCCTGGGTCTTGAGGACCCTCATGGTTTGGGAGAGAGTTTCTCAGGGCGGGGCTAGAGCGGGGACCCAGGGTTACCCATCTAGAGGCAGCCAAATCCTATCTTCACCACCCAGGGCTCAGAGGGTAAGAATACCTACCTAACCAGTGCTGGGAAGATTTAATGGGATATGCATAAGGCTCCCAAGCAAAGCAGATGCCCAATAAATAGAACGTCTTGATTCTATATGCAAATTTTATTCTATATGTGAATTTTAATCTATATGTAAGTAGCACAAATGATCATTTTCATATAACAAAGGGCAGTGATCCCAGACTGTCGATCACATCCAGTCAGCATGTGACCATTGAGCATGTAATCGCAGTATCTCCAATGCATGTACACACTGAACTTCCCAGCAGATATATACTACATAAGTTACCACCTATAAAATCAGGCACAGTTTCTATTATCAGTCCTCAAAGTGCATAAGACATAAATTTTTATTTATGCTATTTATTTACATTTCAACAAAACTCAAAACCCCAAATCGTTAAACCAGAAATTACTTCCCACCGTAGTTTATTTTGGATCTGTCATGGAGAAAAGCACATTTTGTGCATGAATCAATATCTGTGGATCATTCAGATGACCCACGAAATCAGGGGACTTCTGCTACATTTTTAACATTTCGATAGTTCATATGTTATGGAATGCGGTCAGTGCATTTTGGACTAGTTTTTTTTTAAATGTAGGATATGATTTTTTTCTTGGTGATTCATCTGTTGGCTCCAGTTTTTCTTCACTGAAATTTACTATAAAGTCAGAACTGAAATGGGAACACCCTAGATCCCCTTTCATGGGGCAGGATGTTTGCTGTGTTGTTTTTGGTTTACATTCAATTTGATTGTATTTTGTTGCCTTTACATATGAGGCATGTATTCCAATTAACCAGATGGATGAGTATGTTTCTTGTGACCATCTGCCATATTGCTGTTGCAACTCTGTATTCATTTAGGAAATGATTTGTTTAATACGTCGATTCCCAAAGAATAAGCACATATCTATTTTTTTTTTATCACAGTAACATAAAATAATTTCTGTTATGGACCTTGAGAGCTTGTTTGGAGGTTCTAGCAGGGGAGCGCAGCTACTCCTATACCCTTGACCGAAGAACGGTCCTCCTCTATCGGGGAAGGTCGTCCTCTTCGACCGAGCGCGCAGCTTCGGGAGGGACGCACATGGAGCGGTGAGGGAGGAAAGGGACACCCGCCTAGCCAGCCAGATCAGCCGAATCAACCCTGGCGATCAATGGGGTGACAGATGTCGCAGCCAGATCGCCCTCACATCCAATTTCTGTTATGGAAAAGCCCACGCCCATACATTTCTTACATCAGCACAGTCATACAGACAGAATAATTATTGAGAATGAAATGAAAATTCTCTACATATTTTTTATCAGTTTCACAAATGTTTGTGTTTGAAATACAAAGTTTGGGTGTTTATCTTTAGTGTCTGAGGAAGAACATAACACAATTTATCAAGGCAGCAGTGGACTTAAAATGTCAGGTCAGTTTTCTTTCATTTTGTCTTTTTTTTTTAATGTCTTATGTTATCATAAAATAATATTCTTTCATCCTACCCTTGAACAAAATAAATCTTTGTGGCTATTCTTGCACAAATTCATTAGATGGTGTCCTTGATAAGACAGAAGTCTGTCTGATAATTTGGGCATCCAAATGTTACCCCAGGGATGATTTACTTGTATTTTTTATTTATAATTGTGGCTTAAAATTTGAACTGGATGAATTTTCTAAATGAAAAAAAGGATATTTGCACAATTATCTGCTTGAATTTTATATGGCTGAAAGATGGTAAATTTCCATTCTTTATTGGTACTTACTTTTTAAATTTTGAACTTTAAGCTTTTAAGGAAAAAAATAATCCTGAAATAACCCAATTATACTTTTATGGATGAGCTGGAAAAAAAATAAGTGATGTATCTAAACTAGTAGAATGAGTCACCCAGCATTTCATGCAAAACTTGCGGCCTGGGAGTTTAACTTACAACCCCAAGTTAAAATAAATTTTTTCTATTTAGAATTGTAAAAACGTCAATGGAAGTGCATTGAAATGATAAAATTATTCCAAATTAAGGCATCAGCATGAAGACCACACTTAGTATAGTTAAAATCTCTATGAGCTGATCACAAATAGATCAAAGCTTTTGGATGCATAAACTATTTTCCTTTGACGCTTAAAATAAGATGTAAATTTCACACGCTATTTATTGTAAGATACAGCTTCAAAATCTCGCAAAGCATGAATGAGGTTCTTTGAAGTTAGGGTCATTATATTCCAAGGAGTTTGATGAATCGTCGAGAATGCCCATCAATTAGGACTTCACATGTGCTGATTAACATTCAAAAGATTCAATATATTATCTTTGATTTCTGCCTTCTTTTAGTGCTTGAAAACTCTCATATCAAGAAGAAGTTATAGAAATATAAGCTTTCTTGGGGCGCCTGGGTGGCTCGGTTGGTTGGGCGACTGCCTTCGGCTCAGGTCATGATCCTGGAGTCCCTGGATCGAGTCCCGCATCGGGCTCCCTGCTTGCTTTAAAATCTTTAAAAAAAAAAAAAAAGAAAGAAATATAGGCTTTCTCAAATGCTGAAAATGACTCTGACTTCAGGTCCGTAAAGGCATTGTGTTCAGGTGGCAGGTGGCCACCCATTCAGTGGCTCCTATTCCTGGCATGCTCCGCTGACCTGGACCTTTTCTTAAGTGAAATAAGAGGGACTGAAGTAGAGGCAGTTTAATTAGAACACTGGAAATCATGAGACTGGGATTCAATTGAATGTCTGTTTTTTAAGATGCTTACAGTGAGTATTTTGATCTTTGCTCCAGTGTTTTCTCAGCAAAAGCGATGTGCAAGTGAATAAAATCATCAGAAGGAAAATGAAGACACACACACCCTGAGCTCTGCATGTGACACCCCATAGTTGTATCTGCCCTGACTTCCTAGTTAGGAATTAATTCAGTTTTAAACCAAACATACAGGAAAAGACTCCGGCACATTAGTAATTCTACCCGTTACTCTTGAACTAAATCTGTGAGGTGAAAAGTTAAAGCAACAACCAAATGCTAAAAGCAAACATTATTTTTTTTAAGTCCCATAGTAACATAAAATCAGTAGAAAACTGAGATCATCTGTGTGGCTCTTAAATTAATCTGATGACCGATACCAACCAGAAAGTTCAGGTGAGATTCAGTAATTCAGGAATTTGTCTATAGCGGCACGTGTGGTGATGAGCCCTGGGTGTTACACGCAACTCATGAACCGTGGAACGCGACATCAAGAATTAATGATGTGCCTAACTGAACATAAAAAAAAAAAAAAAAAGATTTGTCTATCGAACCTGTTAGTTAGTTACCGCTGTTTTCGGGATTATTTCAGGCTGAGAGAGGTCCTAAAATCATCTTAGGTTTTCCTCCTAAGCGGAGTTCTCTTTATTCAAACCTGGAAACTCTCTATTTTTCTTTTTCCTTCCCTTGGGATAGCAATGTTAAGTGGTTTTTCACGTTGCTACTTTGTTACGGTTTTGACCAACGGTGGCCAGCCGCTCAGTGCCTCCGCAGTTTTCATCCTCAGCAGGCCATCCGGGGCGGGGAAGGTGCTGCCCATGACCTTTGCTTGATTCTACCTGCAGCTCCCTGCGGAGGCCAGTACACGGGATCTGAAGGGGTCGTTTTGTCACCCAACTACCCTCATAATTACACGGCCGGTCAAATATGCCTCTACTCCATAACAGTACCCAAGGAATTTGGTAAGTTGGCTTTTTAGTGTTGTATTCATCATTCAGTGTCATACTTGTTTCATTGTTGATGTTTCTGTCATTTTATAAACAAATATTTCAGCTCTCGATATAATAAAATCATATACAAAAGATGAATTTATTAAAGCAGCAAGTTTTCTAAAGGTATAGAGTATCCACTACAATTCTTTTATCAATGTGATATGAAATGCTTAAATGTTCTTCTAAGATTGTGATCCAGAATAATCAGAGAGAATGTGTTTGACTTTGCTCCCAGTTTTGTTAGAAAGCATTTTTTTTTTCCCCAAGGGAGGATCGCCAAGTAAGGTGGGCCAGGGGGACACTGTATATTAATTTGTACATACATTTTGTAATCAGATTATGACGGAAATCACTGGATCACTGAATTTACCTTTGAGTGATTAGAGATGCAAAAACAGGCAGAACCCCCATCTGACTCAACATCTAACTTGCAAATTTGCCTCTTTCACTTTGCTTCCAACCTGAGCCAGCTTTCAGAATGACTTCATTGCTAGAAGGGCCTTCCTGGGGGGTCTACCCTCCATTTACCCAAAGCTGGATTCCCACACCTCCAATCTCACTCTTGACCACAGATATTTCTTATGATTTGAGTTTTTTTCTGGAGTAAACCACAGAGAAGCTTTTATAGCTTTATAGCCAAGGTTCTTTTTTTTTTTTTTTCCAATAGTAAAATTTAAAACCCTACATAGTTAAGGTGTTTTTGTTCTTTACATTCAAAATAGCAGCCACCTACTCATAGATAGAAAGCAAAATTATAAAAATTCTAAGGTTAGAATCTGTTTGAGGGAAAACATCTTAAAAAGTACAGTTAGTTATATGACAAGAAAGTTAATTGCTGGGTTTGAAAGTGGCATGTGGGAGAGAGATGGTTTCTGTGAATTTCTATTATTTATGATTCACAGGTCTGTTAAAGCTAATGAAAACTTCCACCAAGCACTGACGTCAGCCTTAGGTAGTTTAGGTCATGGGCCCTTCATGAACTGTGTGATGTAACTTGCTTGGTATCTGAAGCCATACCATTTAGCATCTACCCTGGGCCAGTTCTCAAGAGTGATGGGGTTTTTGGGCGGGGCCTTTCTGTAGCATCTGCTCTGTTAAGAAGAGATGGTAATCTGAGCATCAGCATTGATGGATGTGTTCCTGGAGACCAGGGCAGAGGGACCAGCTTCCCAGCAGGCAAAGGGCAGATTCACTTGCTCTGTGAATGAATGGCAGCTGTTATTGTCATTAAAAAAAAAAAAATGAGGGGGCTTCAGAATATTTACTTTTGTTATAATAAACAGATAAGAAAACTTAGAATAGCTCCTAATCCTCACTCTTTAGGCTGGACCAGTTCCTCTAAACTAATGTCACTTATTTGGTCCCACTTAATTCATTTTTTCTAAGTGCTCCACAGCATCCTCCAGTTACTTTCCCATGAATATTCCTTTTATTTTTGTTCATAGACACATGACAGAATATATTTATCACAATGGAATATAGCAGCCATATTCTCTGATTTTGGCTTATTTCAAAATTTATCGAATTGTCACAACACAATTGTGATTTGTCAGCAGAAAAAAAAAGGTCACACATCTATCCTAAATATTGATCACCATTACCCAATCTGAAATGTATAATGATATACATTTATCACATTCTATCCACGCAGAAAATTTTAATCTATACTGTCTTATCTTGTACTTTCTTCTCTTCCTTACTCTTTCCTGGGAAATAAATTAATTCAATAATTAATTCAAAAATTGTCATAAGGGCCAAGATGAATAAAATATAGTCTGTGCCTATGAGATGCTCACTTTTTAAATCCCACATCAGCTCATGGGGTGAACCTTGCTAGGTAGGAAGGGGCACAAGTGTGGTGAACACAGGCTCCAAATGGGAAGGACGCTTGAGGCAGGTCTTCAGATACCCCAATCCTCTCCCTATTTTCATCCAAAAGCATCACCAAAGTATCCTTTCTTAAACAAAGCTCTGGTCCTGGAAACACCGTGATCAACATCTTTCACTCACTTTTTTGCCCACGAGGAAACCCCATGTATTCAGGTGTGGTCTTCCAGGCCCTGAAGTCCCAGGCTGCCAGGGCCTTGGCTCCCCAGTTCCCTCCTCTTCCCCTTCCTCACTGAGTGCCTGCCAAACCAGACCAATGGCCACATTTGTCACCTGCAGAATCGTGCTCTTACTATTCACTGGCTGAAAGAAATGCCCTGCATTTCATTCGTACACACGAAGGGTTTCAGTTCTCCTGCTTTAAGGACTAGTGATGCTGCTCTCTCCCCCGGTGGACATGGACTCCCCCACAGCTGGGAACAGCGGCCCCATGGCTCACGACCTATAGCCCCTTACTCTTTCCCATCATGGTCATGTCTAGCTGCAGTGTCCATAGCAGTGAGCAATGGTCGCTCTTGGCAGACGTCTGCTCTTTGGAGCGGAACCAGTCAGGGGCCTGAACTCAGCCCAAGCAGCTCACCAAAGCAGCCTCATGCCTGCTGATGTGCAGACCCTGAATCTCGATCCGTCATGGGGAGCACCACACACGTTGGCATGTGGCAGGCCCAGGACCTTGTTTCTAATCTTAGCCATTTTCAGATTCCGGCATAAAGTAGATGCTTTCTAAAAGTTTCTTAAAATAATTAAGTAATTAATTAAATCAAAGTTTCTTGAAATTATGTGCATATGATTCACTTTTGTATGATTGAAAAGACCCGAGTGTCCTGCCTCCAACATGACGAAGATTTATTTTGGGGGACGGGGGGCTGTGAACAAAGGTATTGTAAGAGCCAGAACCATGTCAAAATCATGAAGTTCTCTTCCTCTTTCTAATTCTTTGTTTTAGAACACCTCACCAACAGGAAAAGTCCTCCTTGCTCCCATGCTTCCTTTGATTGTTTCTCTCTAGGAAATTATAAAGGAATTATAAAGTCTTAAAAATACATGTATATAGGTGTGTGTGTATTCTACTACATGTGATGCATATACATGTCTGTATATATGTGATACATGTGTGTAATAGGATATATGGCATATGTAGAATACACACACACACACATGCACACAAGCTGTTACAGTTAGATCCCCTCCGTTTTGCCAACACTCTCGTTCGTTAGAATTCTGACATGTGTAAATGATATGCCCATATCCATTTCTTATTCAGGATGATTTAGAATGATTCTAGTTCAAACCTTACACATAAATCACAAATGTTTCTAAATACTGCAGAGGCCCTATTGTCGATTTGAGTACAAAATAATTTATTAAGTTCGGAGTAGTGAAATGCACAGTTGTGTTCTACTTGGAGGAGTTGTGTTCTTGCTACTGATATTGCCTATAAGATAAATAAAACTGTGCAGTGGAATGACAATAAGCAATTTCTATAATATGTTGCTGACTTATGTAGAAATTGCAATGAGCTCATATGAATTTGGCCTTAGAATAATCCTAGGTAAATGATTTTAAATTCTTTGTCAAATTGGCATGTTTTTAGTTTTTAGTTTTTTTTTTTGGCTTGTTTATAAAACCAACAGGTGTCTTGATCCCTGTATCCATAAAATGTCATTAACAGCTCTTAAATACGTGGGGCAGTTTTGTGGCTATTCTTCTACGATCCTAATGTAGTACTGAAAAAATTAATATTCAAACTATATAGGTAACAGTAATTGTATTCCTTTTATTAAGTATGAAGTCATCACTAAGCAAAAGAAAATTGTTTAAGCAACTAAAAACTCTTAGAAAGCAGAGAAAACCAGTTAATGATTTTCTACAGGATTCTTAGGATCATGATCTTTGGAGAAATCAATAAATAGGTAGTACAACCATGATCTCCACATATTTATTTTTGAGAAAGCACATTGTGCAAACCCACCCCCTTTATTTTGCAGTGGTGTTTGGACAATTTGCCTATTTCCAGACGGCACTGAACGATTTGGCAGAATTGTTTGATGGAACACACCCGCAAGCCAGACTCCTCAGCTCGCTCTCTGGGTCACATTCAGGTAAACAGTCAATGAATATTGTCTTGAATTTTCTTTAGACAGCCAGAATGATTAATTTTGAACTTGTCATATTTTTCCTTCTTAATGAAAGAGAAATGCAATCATCTTTGAATTTGCTCACTTGTTTAATAAAACTTTATTTTTGATGGAAAATTTCAACTGTATTTTTATCCCACATATAAAACCACTGACCTTTATCATTTTACTTATTAAGGTTGTAGAAAATATAATATCCATTTCAATAACAAAGGCAAATATCATAAAAACAAGGGGTAATAAACTATCTTGTGTATTCTATTTTCTCTTCTATGTCTCATGATCTTCCTGGAGATAAACGGTATCAATATTTTGGTCTAAATCATTGCCAGCCTTTAAATACATACATATAGAGATCCATCACACTCACACATGTATATGGGTACATATATGTACACACGGGCATGCATGAGTGTGTGCATATGTATGCATGGAAACATGTGGGGCTTCATAAAACATGGGATGTTTTTTCACAACTCAGTCTTTTTGCCATACTCTTATATAAAAGCACAAGTGGAGTCTTCCCCTATCAAAAAATATGAATATACATCAAAAGTAATTAGTTTTAGTGCTGACTAGTACTCGCTTGATCAATACAGCCTAATTTACTTAGCCCCTCATGGATTTGGACCTTGTACAAACTGCAAGGTTTGTACCATGATGTGTTTTCATCATTTATCAAAGTACAGTCGAAGCACAAAGGTGTGTCACAGACTTTTCCAACCAAGGTTAGGATTTGATTATTTCCATGTTTTCCCTATCATTAACCAAGAGTCTTAAGATCTATGTCTTGTTATTTTCTGCCAATGTCCAATGATGTAATGTCTAGAAATGCACCAGAAGATACAGATTTAAAATAGTGATACCTGTGGACAAATTCACCTCTGAAATGCTAATGCCATTCATCTGCCCCTTAGCAGCACTTGAGAGAGGCCATTCCTCTAGTGTGGAGGTACTTTAAAAGGTGAAAATATATTTTCGTAAGTTTTTTTTTTTTAATTTTTTTTCTGAAGGCTTTAATATTTTTAAAATCAGCTTTGGATTCAGATTTCCTTAATTTTCTTATTTTAAATAAAATCCCAGTAAGTCATTCTCAAAGTTGATTCTGAGTCAGTAATAAATCTGACTCTTCCACTTCCAACATTGTCAGCTAACAGATCTATGTATCCAATGCTTGCTTCAGAAGGAAGCCTAAATGAGATGATCATCAAAGTCACATTTTAACAGAACGAATAGACAAAAACAGTTTTAAAATCTTGATAGATACAAGGTGTCTGGGTCCTGAACCCAAAGGGAAATTTTATAAAAGTCCAACCATTAAATGCAAAATTCCAAGTGAATGATTTTTTTCCAAACTATTGTCCACCACGGTGCGGTGTCTTCTAGGGATCCCATGTACTGTCTCTGATTTTTTCTTTAGGTGAAACATTGCCTTTGGCGACATCAAATCAGATTCTCCTCCGATTCAGCGCAAAGAGCGGAGCATCTGCCCGGGGCTTTCACTTTGTTTACCAAGGTAAAGGTCACTCGGTGCGCTAGGATCTTCTCCCAGTGCTGCTCACACCGCTATGCTCGGTTAAAGCACTAATATCTGAGTTGTGCGTTTTTGTTTGTTTGTTTTTTTTTAATATTTAGGAAATTGAGGGTATTCATATATTTATACAAAAACAACTTAAGAATATCACATTTTTTTGACACTTAAGTATGATATTTCTACTACAAAGACACAGAAACAGCTCATTTATCTGGCATTATCGGGAAACACATATTGATCCAAACCACTTTGTATAGCACTTCACATTTTGCAAAAGGTTTTCACATACATTACAATATTGTATGTAATTAGGCAAAGTGTTTCATAATGGTTTAGATTTTAGTAACTGCTTTAATGAAATACCTTTAAAGCACATTATACAATTCCAGATCTTCCTGTAAAAACTAATTGAAAAAGCAACACTACAAAATCATACAAAACCACGAATACCATCCATGAACTCATCCTTCTAACTACCTGTTTTATTTTGTTGGTGTTCCAATAACTTTTGGCACTTTGAAACCTTTATATTTATTTTTGAAACTGGAGAGTATTCAAAATGTTTAAGATTGCACAAAGATTCTGTAAAAATGAGGATTTTTCCCCCTATTTCTAGTTTACCTTTATTTTGCATATTCATTACATGACCTTGAAAAAACATATGTAAACGTTTATATACTTTCTGAAGCACAAAGCGGGTCTTTGGATAGAACTTGAAATTGCTGTGTAGCTTGAGCTGTGACAGAGATCACCATCTGCAGAGATAAACTGTCTGTTCCAAAATAAGAAGAAATGTTTTTTCTAGGTCTCAGTTTTGCTTGAGGCTAGAGAGATTACTCACTGCTCTTAAATATTTTCTTCAGAAGTGGAGGAGGATCACTTATTAGCAATGGTTTCTGGCCTTTAATAGAGATTTCTCCAGAAAATGTACTGGGCAGCATCGTCATGTATATAAAAAAAATTATGGAAAATATGTCATTTCATTCATAACTCATTTCTGATATTCTCACATGGCAAAATCCAAGCCCTCAAAATATTTTTATAAACTCTATAAATTATAAAATAATTATTTTATAAATTATAGAATATTTCGCTATAAAACCTCTTCAGTGTTCAGCAATAAGATGGTTTAAAAAAGAATGGGAAAGAATAGGAAGGAATCTGACAAACAGCAGGAAAAGTATCTCTAATCCAGTGTAAATAGTAATTGCTTGAATGATGTTGCTACTCAATTACAGTCAGTTACATTGTTCTAAATCATACCTTTTCTTAAAATATAAACAATTAAACCAATATTTTTAATGGACTTTATTGGACAGTGACCAATGTAGGCAACTTACCTCTTACTCCTAATTTTCTTTAAATACATTGTATTGTTTTGCAGGAGCAAATTTACAAACCCAGTAAGTTGGGGTGACATATAAAGATACTGGACCACTTGGTTTAAGTACATATTTTATCCTGGAAGAAATTCAAGTTACTGACATTGTCTATCTTTTTTTTTTTTTAAAGATTTAATCTATTTATCTGAGAGAGAGAGAATGAGAGACAGCACGAGAGGGAAGAGGGCAGAGGGAGAAGCAGACCCCCTGCTCAGCAGGGAGCCCTATGCGGGACTCGATCCCGGGACTCCAGGATCATGACCTGAGCTGAAGGCAGTCGCCTAACCAACTGAGCCACCCAGGCGCCCCATTGTCTATCTTGATAAGGGGTGTTCTTTGATTTTTGATAAGGATTAGAAAATCAATCAGATCATCAAATAAAATCTGAGGCAAATGACCCTATGTCTATCCTATTTACAAATATTATCATCAGAAGTCATGATTTTCAAAATTATGTTTCTTGGTTTAAAGTAACCTATTACCATTACAATGAATTAAAACAGAAAAGTAGAAAGAAAAGAAAATCATTTATAGGAGGACTATATCTTCCTTGTCTTTAACAACATATAATGACTCTAACATCCTCAATATTTTATAAAGTCTCAGTATACCTCCTTTTCTTGCTTTGTTCCTACAGTGAGTTTATGCAAAAATTGATGCCTTTTTATCAAAGCTAAATCCTCTGGAAGTAAAGAACTAGAATCATGAATGCCATTTATAAATAACTCAAGAGCACCTGGGGAAGTTTTCAATGCATTAGGAAAGTTAAATTGAACATTGGCTTCTGAAAGATGGTAGTTATATGGAAGCCAAGAAATTACTTGCAATCTATTGTATAAAAAACTGCCTGAAAAGTTCTTTTGTATACCACTTATGGCTCCATTCTTTCACAAGTTATTAAAGCCTAAAATTGCACGGGGACTTTCTGATGCCCATGATTGTAGGGTGTCTGACCCTGTTAATAGACAGTTGTGCTATACAGAGCTCAGGATCAGGGTGTGGGAAGCCAGGATCACTGTCTCTTGCCCTCCATGCAGTGCTGGTTAATAAGGAGACATTAATAATGAGGATGTTTCTGTCTTTCTGATCTTGTGGAGAAATGGACATATAGAGGCTTTTTTTTTTTTTTTTTTTTACAAAGTGTCCTAATTAACTCATGCCTTGGCTGCTTTTCATTTGCTTTCTACACTACTTAGAGGCAGAAGGGCATATTTGAGAGTGAGTTAGGACCCACGAGCACCCCAAAGAAGGCTAATGGGGGTACCCTTCCTAATACAATGCTACAAATAGCTCTTCCACATTGGTTTATCAATGATGACTCAGCACCTGTGAAGAGTTTTGTTTGGCTGCTTGTTGCTATTGAATTAAAGACTCAAGGACATTATCTACTCGGGGATGGAGCAGCCTACTTTGCAGGTCTCCAGTTGTATAATGGTAGTGTGCACTGGACAGAGACTGAGAAGAGATAATGCGTCTCAGGTGGCTCAGGTGTCGGTCCTCCTTGGGCAAACTTGCATCCTCCTTTGATTCAGCAGCCACACACCTCAGTGGTGTGACCATCAAATAGAATTTAGAAGCAAAAGATGCTGTGAGAAACTACCATGAATGAACATCTAGGGATGCTCCTGAAGTGGGAGAGTCTCTCTAACTGTTCCAACATTTCGGTTCCAGACTGGACCACTGTGTAAACAGACTTCCATGAAGGCAGAGGAGGAACACACCTTGGTTTTAAACACAAATGCATTCAAATAGCTTTTTGCATTTCTTTTTAGAAATCCAGGAGAAGGTTTCCCCACCTCCTTCGCCCAGTGCCTTCCCTCTCCCCTCTAAGCTCCCAGACCTAGACACTGGCAGGACCCACAATCAGTAAATGTGGATAATCTTTGGAAATCTTTGGATAATCTTTGCCATTCCACAATATATATTACACCTAAAGTCAATGTGTTCTTAGGTCGATGAGAAAAATCAAAATTCATGTCATCCTAAGAAACTCTCCATGTGGGAGACTTACCTACTGTTTCTTAACAAATTGAGCACAGTCTGATTCCTCCAGTATTAGAAGATCCCTTTTAGCTATGCTATGAAGTAGTTACATTGCCTTTATAGACTTTTTGTGGCCCTAAAATGCACACCTTATAATGCTATAATCAACCTTAGCAATACTGGAAGGAACATGGGAACCAGCCTGTGTGGCCAGAGACCGACTAAAGCAGAGCAGACACTCCTCTCCTTTCCTGCTTGCTCCAAGGCACATGCTGATATATGGCAGGGTGTTTCAACCCCCCTGCACTGCCCGCCCCCTCCCTGCTCTGCCTGTGCTCCAGACTGAATGTGTCTTATTAAACGTGGTGTTTAGCACCTGGGTGGCTCGGTCAGTTAAGCATCCAATTCTTGATCTCAGCTCAGGTCTTGATCTCAGGGTCATGAGTTGAAGCCCCGTGCTGGGCTCTACACTCAACATGGAGCCTACCTAAAATTAAACTTGGTGGTTGACAGTGTCTCATCCATAGAATACTATTTTGAACTCTCTTATATTTATGCCTGGCTGTTTCCACATATCATCCATTTTTCTTGTGTATTTCCATGTAGAATTCAACACTACATTCTCACAAAATAAGTCACTCATGCCAAAATTAGTAAACCAGTTAGGACTTACTGAATATTTCAAGGGGAAAAGGAGGCCATGTTTTTACATCAAACCTCCGCACAGATCCCAACTTACAAGTGTCAGCTGGCCCCGAATCCCTGTCTTTCTGAGGCATATTTGCCACGTGGACAACTCTAGCTTAAATCCTCATCCCCCAGCCTCACCTGAAATGGCCTCCTGCCTCCTCGCTTCCCAGCGGCCCAGTCTCCCAGATTCACCAGCTCAGGGCTTCCTGGTCCAGGATCCTCCTATGGCAAGACTCACTCTCCTTAGCATTACAATAAACAGATAAACAATCTAGGAACATGGAAGTGCATTTTCTAAGTTTGGGTAGGAAGAATATACACTAAAATTTCCTTTGCTTGAGGTCCTTCCTTGGCATGTAAATGCATGTCTTTATTGATTTTCCCCAGGCCTCATCTCCTTTTAGATAGCGTAAATTATAAGGTTTTCCATTTCTAAGAAATTCACTTTTTGTATAAAAAGCTTATAAAATGCATACTTTTTACAAAGACGAATAAGCCTAAAGTTTTGTTCATAATTCATCGATGTTTGTTTGAATTCACTGACTAGTAATGGCTTGTCAAATCTGATTTTTCAACTACCAAAACAGAATGATTTTGAGAAATAGAAATATCCTCTGTCACTAAATGAAACAGGAAAGACCGCCTCCCTTAGACTTTGCAAGTGATTGTTGCATGCATTCAGATTTGTTATTATTATGGCTGTTGTTGTTGTCTTGCTGTTACACCTGCTCTGAATGAAGAGCCGTGAAGATCCACGGATGGATCGACCACGTTTCCCCTTTCTGTGCCTGCACTGAAAGCTCCGGAGACCAGCCCCAGCCCCTGCACCGGCCCAGCGCACCAGCCCCTGGGGACATCCCTCAATCTGCCCACCTCCTCTTCCTCCAGGCTGACCTCCTCCCCTGTTTGCTTTCCACCACACTGATTTCAGTTTTGTTTCACTGCAGTAGGAAATCTTTGCTAAAATACAGAGGATAATTACCACAGAGGATGGAATTTCTCTCTGATGCTGCCCGAAACATCCAGGAGAAGGGAAGGAACCAGAGGGCATGCTGAGAGCAAAAGTTGCTGCACACTGATTTTCCCCAGACCTTGCATGGACGTCTGGTGTCTCAGTTTCTGCTCACTTCTGTTCCACTTTGCGGAGACTCACAGCTGTTCTTCTGCTCACTTTGGAAACGTCTTCCTCTAAAAACTGTTCTGCATAATTTCATCTAAATGCAGGTGTTTTTTGTTTATTGTTATTTTCCTTAAAAAAATGACAATGGTGAAGTTCCTGAAGAAAGGCTCGGTAGTAGCATGTGTCTGAATGACCTTGATGGTGTGTTCCTGTCCACGGGAGCCTGGAATGGCCATGGTGCCTTGGACAAACACAAACGAGGCCATTGCTATGAAGAGCGGGGAGCTTTCCATGTCATTCAGGACAAGTAGAAAAATTGCCATTGGAGATATTTTCTCCATTTTGGTAAAAAAAAAATTCTTGAGAATTGAAGCCTCCATGGGATATTTTTTATTCATTTCCTTTTTGCTCTCATTCTACTTGTTCAACTGTAACAAAATACTCAAATAGAAATACAACAAATAGTTCTAAGCAATTTATTATAATATAACATAGTTATGCATTCTATTTTTAGTTACAAAGAGTCATTCTGATGTATCATTGTTTCACCTATAGTTATTAATATGTAATTTTATTAATGTCACCTTCTGATAGAAAATACTTCAACATGAATGCAAGCATGGTTTTGTCAGAATCATCTTCCGCCTTCCATGCTCATAGAATCACTTGCTAAGCAGCAGTTACCCAAATGGTGTCTGTCATTGTTCAGGTTCAATTTCCTGTTAGGAAAAGCATTGTGAAGACGGAGGGTTGTTTTAAAGAAAATGAGTATATAAGCACATTCTCTCAGAAGGCTGCACCATTGAACGAGGACATGCACAGTCTGAAAGAGAGAGAGGGTCCTGGTGACGATAGAGACCAACTGACTTTTAATTGCATAGAACAAAAACAGAACAGTGCATTTTCAAGTGCATACCAGGTGGATCTATTTCTCAAAGAGTTGGTTTGGTGTAACAGGCGTCATCGACAATTGAAGTATTTTTCAAACTTGATCCCTGCCCCTTTTGATAATCAGAAGAATCTCTTACAGATGGAGAATTCCAATAAACAAGCTAAATAGATACCTCACCCCACACTGGAACGAGGCTCACCTGCTCATGCCTACCACCCAAAGACCATAAGAACACACCTGTAATCAAACAAGCTTGAGTTTTTACCAACTGCCTCAGTGAAGACCACACACCAGGGAGACCCTGGGGGTGTCTCAAAAAGAAAGTTCCAGGAAGGGTTGGTTATAGGACTGAGGTGTGTGCTAGGTGATTTGGGACAGTCTTAAAGGCAGTGTGATTTTGCTTTGGATTGCTGGTAGGGGAGGCCTAGTGCTGTGGGGCATCTTGACTTTCATCAGGAGGTAGAAGGAACATCCATGTTGTTGCAAATGGCAGAATTCCTTTCTTTTTTAAGGCTAAATAATATTCTATTGCATGGATATAACACATTTTCTCTATCCATTCATCCATCAATGGACACTTAGGTTGATTCCATGGCTTGCCTGCTGGGAATGATGCTGCAGTGAACATGGGGGGCAGAGAGATCTCTTTGAGATGCTGATTTCAATATTTTTTGGATATATACCCAGAAGTGAGATTGCTGGATCATATGGGAGTTCTATTTTTGATTTTGTTATTGCATCATAATAGCCATATTATACTCACTAGACTCTAAGGTCTTTGAGGATAAGTACAAGTTCTTAGTCACCTCATTATCATGAGCACAGTGATTCGGGTACTTAATTAATTTTAATTGCCTGAATATCACTCAGTTCTCATAAGGCACTAATGCTCCTTATGCCATGTTTTCCTCATCTGAAATGAGAATATAAGGCAGTCCTTGGAGTTGGTAAGAGAATGAAATGAAGATGGGAAAGTGCTCCCCAAATCATTCCCTCTAGAAATTGCAGAAGGCGTTCTTAATTCTATATTAACAGAAACTCTCTCTGGACTCATCTTAACTCTATTTCCAAGGAAATAGTTTGGCTTCCCGATAAAGATACAGATGGCTATGTTGTGTGTTTTGCTTCTAGCTGTTCCTCGAACCAGCGATACCCAGTGCAGCTCTATCCCTGAGCCCAGATATGGAAGAAGAATCGGATCGGAATTTTCGGCCGGCTCGATTGTCCGTTTCGAGTGTAACCCAGGATACCTCCTTCAGGGTTCCACTGCTATCCGCTGTCAGTCCGTACCTAATGCTTTAGCTCAGTGGAATGACACGATCCCGAGCTGCATAGGTAAGGGTGTGTCCAGAAGGTGGGATACCTTGCTTGAGGCTGTCAAGCCCAGCTTCACAGCTGGTTGAAGAGCTGCTTTCCAATGCTGATGTCCAGTCTCCACCACCTGGTCATGCTCCAGACCTATTTAAAGAGCAATGCATTTTACCTGACATAACTGAGTAGCAGCTAAACCCTTAAGATTACCATGTTTCAGGAAACAACTCATTCGATTAACAAGTATGAAACATGTTTTCTTTCTCAATACTTATTAAGTATGCCATTAACTCTCCAGCCATGGGTATATAACATAATTTCATTTTGGGGAAGAATCATTATAATGTTGATTTGCTATATTGTGTAATGTCCTTTTTAATAAATGTGTGCTGATGAAGGTTTGAAAAGTAGTAGGTTAATGCAGCCCAAATAACAATGACGCTCTTAGTTATAGTTTATTTGCTTCATTTTGTGTAAGAACCTCTAGTGCAATCATGATTAGCTCTTGAATTCATTTGCACATTTTCAGCGTCTCTTCTCCTCCCTGGATTTGATCATAAATCACATTAATATCCTTTGGAGTTGCATGTCTGCATGTAGGAGACAGTACTCCACAAAGCTCCTTAAATCGTACGGATAAAATTATCCTAAACAGAATTCGCTTTAGAGATGCCACTGTTAGGTACCATCCCTCCTAACAGAGCTCGAAGAGCTTTACTTTTAGACACCAGATCTGTAACGTGGTAGTACAGTATATAATAATCAATGATATTGCAAGTTTATAAGAGAACAGACTAAATTTGACCCTGGCTACAAGTGCCATTTAAGGGACCATACTCCATGTAAAATGTCTCTTAATATCTGATCACACAGCAAAGAACCGCTAAGCACCAAATTAATGCTGTCCTTCTCTGTACTTTATGACACACGGTTTTGTCTTTTAGTCCCCTGCAGTGGTAATTTCACTCAGCGCAGAGGTACAATTTTATCCCCTGGCTACCCAGAACCGTATGGTAACAACTTAAACTGTATCTGGAAAATCATAGTTACAGAGGGATCAGGAATTCAGGTAAGCCCCTTATGCCCCGAACGTCCGAATGCACAGGGTTTGGCTAGGTCTGTGTTTGCTTTCTGTGTTTGTTTTTTGTTTTGCATTGGTTATTTTATTTTATTTCTGCATTGGTTATTTTATTTAATCTTTTTTTTTTTTTTGCATTGGTTTACATTATTTATTTATTTTGAATTTGTTATTTATTTTTTTACCTGCATTGGTTATTTTAAACACTTAAACCATGGCCTGTTTCCCTTTTCTTACTACTTCTGCAACGTGTTTCTAATCACATTTCTCTATTTGGAATAGCAATAGTAGATTTTTAGGATAAAAGCTGTCAAAAATACCATTTGTAGACATTTTCAAATGTCTTTTCATGGTTTATTCTCCTTGGTTTCACCCTTCTCTTACGTATGTATATTAAGTTTCATGGGAAGCCCCACATGATCAGGCTAATTTCCTTAAATGAGAAACACACATTAACTGAACATTGTCGTTTGCTAGATTCAAGTGATCAGTTTTGCCACTGAGCAGAACTGGGACTCTCTGGAGATTTACGACGGCGGTGACATGACCTCACCCAGGCTGGGAAGTTTCTCAGGTAAGATGAAACCAGCTCCCTAGTCTCTGTTTGTGAACCAGAATCATCAAACACTAGCAAACAAACAACAGCAACAAAACGTTTGATGTAGACTTTTCCTACAAAACTCCTGTATATCGGTGATAGCTTGGCTAGTGTTGAAAGCCTTAGGGGAAGCGCATCACAAAACAGGATAGCCAGGGGACAGCTCTGTTCGCAGGGAGGGGAGGCCTGCTAGGGGAGGAGCAGGTAACGCCATGTTTGCAGGCGACAGGCTGAGGGCGGGGACAAGGGACCCAGCGGGAGATGGGAGGCGGGGGTGAAGCAGAAAGTAGGTCGTGGTTCTTAGCTCCTGAGAAGAGACGTCTAAAGGTTAGGCAACCCAGGAAAATGGCACTCTGCATTTTGGGGCATTTAGGGCTGAGGCTTGCAGTGCTTTGCTCCATCAACGTTGCAGAAAACCCCGACCCTTTACAGCAGATGCTGCCTCACTCACGAGCCTCAGGACGTGAACCGTAGCTGGTGGAAAAGAGCCCTTCCTTGCTCTTCCTTCCACCTGCAACTTGCGCGGACATTGCTTCCCCGCTGGCCTTAGCAGCTGCGTCCTCGCCTTCGCCAGAAGCAGTGCGACTCAGCTCTGTCTTCCTTTCTTTGTCCTGCGGCAGGTTAGCCTGCCTCTTGCCCACTCTGTGCGGCAGGAGCGCACCCGAATTCCCGACCCACGGGCCGTAGTCAACATCACCGTCATCCCCTTCACCAGCGTCCCCATCAGTAGGTGTCTCTGCGCCCGGGGGGCCGGGCTAGCTGAGTCCCACACACGGCACTCTGCCCTCCATGCTACTGCTCCCCTCGCATTCCAAGTGACAGAGACGGGCACATGTCCGAATCGTCCAGGAGTGCATGGAGACGTAACAGCTTTCTAGGAGTATCCCCCACCGCACGCACCACTCCTTTGTCGCCCGGCCTGCTTCTCTTCCCGTCTCTCTTGTGCTGCTCAGCTGGTTAGAAACGCAGGCTGGATGGCGGGGTGGCCCTTCCCAGCGCCCGCAGCTTTGACTTCACCGCGCTCCTCTTGAATGATGCCAGAGGTCTCGTCTCTGGATATCAGCAAAGAAGAACACCTTTTTTATGAGGCCATTTAAAGTGTGTGCGATAAAACGCCAGTCTAATGTACAGTTTCTCACACGCCATCTGATGTTTGTCTGTCTTGGTATGATTTATCTTTTGAGACTTCTCTCCCACCGCCGCCTCCAGTCCCGCAGGCTTCATCTCAAACGCCGTCCCCACCGTGAACACTCGCTGACTCCCCGCACCAGATAGTGCTTGTCGCAGTTCAGCTTAGCATACGATTGCTTTAAGTACCTACTCTCTGTATCAAGTACTTTATTTGTTCTTAGGAATAAAAAAGGAAGTCTCTGACACTAAAGATAGCAACAGCTTCAACGCGATTTGGAATCCATATGCAGATGATAAAACACAGTAATAGTTATAATAAAATATATTTTAATAATTTATAAAAATAATGCTAATGTGAACTAATAATGTCTATAACTTTTGGCAAACATGCAGCACTCCAGGTAGGTGTTGGGTATTAAAGGAAGTCAAAAATAGTATTTTTCTAGGATTTGGTAGAAAAATTATATATATATATATATCCTAACTGATAGTATAACATATCTGGGAAAAAGTAAAATATCTTAACAGATTAGTAAAATATAGGCAGATAAATCAAAGGGAGAAGAAAGGCTCCAGGCAACAGAACCATGTGGTTCAGAGCCTGTGTCTGTTACACAGATGATGCTTGAAGAATGTGGGTTTGAACCACACAGATCCACTTACACATGGATTTTTTTCAGTAAATAGAGTACAGAACCATAAATATATTTCTTTCCCTTATGCAAGTTTTATTAAATAAAACTTGCTTACAAAGTATGTGCTTTGCCATTTTTTATCTGAAGTTCAGATTTCACTGTTCAGATATATTTTTTTAATTATCAATTAACATATATCATTCTGCATTAAACCTTCTCTTGAATAACGACTTGATGTCAACTTAGCTTCAGATATGTGATTTTATATTTCTCAGTTAATATTAGGAATAGGTTGACTTTTAAAAGAGAAGGGTGTAACGTTGAACTGATTTTTCCACCTGACTTTCTCAGGCACAAGGGTGTTACTGAACACTTTTACACACAAATGTACAAAGAGCCAGAGACCGCACACAGGAGAAAGTTGCGTGATCGATCGACTTAGCAGGAATGACTTATTACAAATAGTAAAAATAATAATAATAAAAGAAGGAAACACATTGCCTACATATGTGATGAAAAATAATGACAGCAATCCTCTCTTTCTTGAGTTGTTGGAATTAGCCCGGGGAAAAGATCTATTTTTTTTTTTCCCTGTTATTTCATGGGTACAAATTTAAATTTATTAAGTGCATCATTAGCATCAGTGCAGAAATCAAGATGCATTTCTAAGTCAAAACTGGGTTCACTTATAATAGTAAACAATGTCTAGCTAAATATATAGATCTTAGCTATATTTTTAATTTTTTTTAAGTTTTTGTTTAAGTTTCAGTTAGTTAACATACAGTGTAGTATTAGTTTCGGGTGTACAGTTTAGTGATTCATGAGTTCCATGCAACACCTGGGGCTCATCACAAGTGCCCTCCTTTATCCCCATCTTTTAAAGACTATTTGACATAAATACCAGTACAATGTAATTCTGACCATGATCAACATGAGATAGAACACACGTCGTGGCTTGAAGGCATGGTTCTCCAGTTCCCAATGCCAGTCCCAAGCTCAATGTCCCTAGGCCACCCATGCTTTGACCAACTGGGTAACATTTTGGGGGTTATCTTAGATTGAATGATTCTCTACTATAACTCACAGAACACGAGAAGGCAATATGCTTACGAGTACAGCATATTATAAAGTAATCAGATTGGGAACAGCCATATGAGGTGACTCAGAGCACCATCTGGGAAGGTGTCAGACATGAGGCTTTCATGTCCTCAAGACGTGTCACTTTCCAGGGACACATGTATCACCAACCAAGAAGCTTTGCTGTCCAGAGTTTTACCTGGGTTTTCATGATGTAGGCATGATTAATTAAATCACTGGCTACAAGGTTAATTCAGTCTTTAGTTCCTTCCCCTCCCACAGGTTGGGAGGTCAGGCTGATACCATCTGGCTCAAAACCCCAAGCCTCTAAGTGCATGGCTGTCCTTCCCACCACCGTGAGTTATCATAAACATGATCACATAGTTACCATAAACTCAGGTGTGGTTTAAGGAGTCCACCATGAATATCAAGGACATTCCTATTGCTCGGAATAGTCCAAAGGTTAAGATATGAGTACCCTGTAGATACCAGGAGCAAAGAGCAGAGGAATCCTTCACTACACACAACCCCGATTATCAGTGCGAGCAGGGTACACCACTATTTTGATTCTTTAGATTACTGAGATGTCACATATATAAGGAATAATAAAGAAAAAAAACCCTACTTAGTAAGATCTTAAGAGAATGTAGATGATGTGTAAGTTTTATAACATTGTTCTCTGTTCTCATAGTACTTGATTTTGATCACAGTATTTTATGATACAAGTTGGTTGTTTATATTAGGTGTGATGACGTAGAGGTACCTGAGCCTAAAAAATCTCTAAGATAATCGTAAATATGTAGCCTATATTCTTTTCCACAATGTAAATAAGGATTCTTCATGTATCAAGGTTTGGATTAAGAAATTCCTCTGATAGTGATATGTTATATAGGAATTAATAGGATGTCAGTTAATGTTATGGGAACCTAGTCTTACTGAAACTTAATTTGAATAAAAATGGATAATACCAATGAGAAAAGAAATTCCTCTGATAAAAATAATTACGGAATTTGCTATTTGTTGCTATCAATTTTCTTAGCAGAAATGCAAAAATGTAAACTTTTAAGAAAACTAATATTAAGTTAAATAAAAACATCAGTGAAAAAGTAATGTGATAAAAGAAAAAGTCATTAGTAAATAACATATGAAGATATAAATCCAATTTAAAATAATCAAATTTGATCTAACAACATGACAAGTTGTTTTATATAATGTCTTCTACCAAATTAAAAGAGTCTGGCTGACAATATGTTTTTCCAGGCACTCAGGTTGAATTTCTTTGTACTTAAAATAGAGTTCATTAAAAAATGTACAATATTGTACCATATGCAAATCTATTATAATATTACAATATTGCAAACATACTTTTTTTCTGAAGTTAAACAGACCACTTATATTTTTTAGTTTAATATTCAAAGGTTTATTTGTTTTTTGAGATGACCTGAAGATGTTTGATATATGGGAGATTTGCATTGTTTCTAAGACATTTCCACCCTCCAAGACAATAGTGATTTTTTGTGAATGAGCCTAGTCAACCACATCATCCTCATCTGGGCTGTTTTTTGCATTTACTACATATGCATACTATGGGGAAAAAAATGAGCAAGAGCCATGTTCACAAATTTGGCAATTTTTACAGTTGTAGCCATTGTGAATACCAAGGGTATGTTCAATTGAAAAAATAATCAAGAAAATTCCTAACTTATACTCTACATATCATATATTATTCCCACTTACCTGTAGTTTTGCTTTTCCGTGGTCTGAATTACCCATGAACCGTGGGTGGTTCATCTGGAAGCAGATGATGCTCCTTCTGACATATTGTCTGAAGGTCAGTGGTAGCCTAACGCTGTATCACATGGCGGGGTCACTCACCTCCCTTCATCCTGTCCTGTAGGCATTTTATCATCTCAAACCATCACAAGAAGGGTGAGGACAAGGACAATAACATATTTTGAGAGAAAGAGAGAGATCACGTTCACATAACTTTTATCATGGCACAAGTTGCAATTATTCTATTGTATTTAGTTGTTCATCTCTTACTGTGCCTAATTTATAAATTACACTTTATCACAGGTGTGCATGTATAGGAAAATACATACAGTATATATAGGGTTTGGTGTATCTGTGGTT